ATACAAATAGCCTTTAATGGGAATAAAAAAAAAGTAATCTTAGCACGTAAGCCTCCTTAATCATTCCCTAGAAGCCTTCTTTCAATGGAACATGGCAAGTTTTTATACTCCAGAGATTTAGTCCTTTTTATGAGCCGTTCCATAGACAAGTTGGTGGTAATGTGGCTTATTTATTTATATATCTGTGTGGTCAGCTTACTTCCAGATACAATAGTGTTTTACAGTCATTAGGAGAAGTGCATCTGTTATGCTTTAAAATACGTCATGCCTGTGATTACTCATAAGAAATAAATGCAAAGACATTTTTGCAAAGTGCCTACAGCAGTGTAAAACCTTGCCTTTCCTTGGCCTCACCAATTTCTCTTCTACTGAAGATCTGTGGAAATTTGTTTTACCCGTGGACCAAGACCCATAAAGCTGTAATGCTATTTTAAAAATTAAAATGATCTTCATAGGAACAGCTATGTTTAAATAAGCTAATACATTGTATATCTGTATACAATTCCTGCTTTGAGGTAATGCTGTGAGATTCTTTGCCCTGCACAGTAACTAAATAACCATAAATGATCTTTCATGCATATGCAAATCTGTCCCTCTAAGCACCTTATTAATTATTTCAAAGATACCTGGAGGTCACCACTCACAGAAATTTCTATGCATGAAGCCTCATTAATACAAGACACCATACAGAGAGATGGGATAGATTTTTGTTGCTATTTAACAAGGGCAGAGAGAGTATAATCTGTAACATTTACTTTTTCATTTTAATGACCAATGATATCCAGCCAGCTCCTATCTATAAGTCCTTGCTCTGAGCTGATACAGTGGGTTTGAATCATGGGGCTGCTGCCACACTGCCCTGAACAGCTAATCCTATCAATGCACCAGTTACCACGCTCAGAGCTCTCGTCCTCAATGCTGGCTGTCCTCAGCTGGAGTAGTGCTGCCTGGCACTACATCAGCAGCTAAGCACTAAGGAATTAATGATGGTCTTCCAAAAATCACAGCAATGACACCTTCTGCCTTGGAATAAAGTAAAGCTATGGAATTATCAAGGTGATGTTTCATAGCTCATCAGCTGAGATGATAGCCTTCTTCTGAACACATTATCTCCTGCTCAATTAGGCCACATAACAGAAATCAAGGAAAAGCAGGGATACAACCACACAAAATACCTGAAAGCTATGACAAAATGCATCTTGTCATATATCTGTGTCATGAAGCAAGAAATTAAACCCACTTGAGAAGCACTGTTTATGTGAAATCCCTAGATCCTTTCCAGCTCAAGTTATCATACTTATGTGATAACACTGACCTCATCTGTCACAGTGACCATTTGCTATAGCAGCTGCTGTTTATTTTTATTTTGTTGTGTGCTTTCACCTCTAGATTCATCCAATAAAATATATAAAATACTATGTTGGTACATTCCCTTGATAAAAATTTGGAACAGCGAGTCAAATGTTAATGGAAACTGCAGGCTATGTTCATTATGTCCTCTCTATTTTTGAAAAACACTAGAATGAACAGAACTAATTGGAAGTGCAAACAATTTAAATAGGCTTAATTACAACACCAAACCCTTTTGCAGAGTTCTAGGGCAATGTGTACACACGCCTTCAAGAAATGGGCTAGTTTAAGTAAATTCTTTCTTAAATGAAAATGGAAAAGTAATTTTTACAAAGTCTGAACTCAGAAGATTAATCTTTTCTGTTCAAGACGCCATAAATACTACTTCTGTATTAGTCTGTGATGTTTAAAAATACAGATTAATACAGACTGTTTTGATCTTTCTGTGCAACCTGATCACCTACCGTAACATAAATCTCACTGTAGTAAATACGACTTTATGTTGAGTTTCCTTTTAGAAGCAGGTTCAAACCAACATCTAACCTTGCAATAAAGCTGAGCTCATGCTTTGAGTCATGCTCCGTTAGAGATAACATGTATTAAACCAACACTGCCACAGTAAGAAAGAAAAGCCTTTTCTTGGCATGTCCCAGGGTATTCATTCCTGTCAAAGGGAATTAATTTAAGGCTTCACTGAGGTAATTACAGAAAGTTGTGTCAAACAGTGCTTTATCGTCCTCACATATGAGTTTGTGTCCACACAAACCATAACTCACAGTTGCAAAAATTAAGATTGTGAATTGTAGATTGCAAAAATGCAATCTTATACTACTCAGTAGGAGTGCCATGATAAGTGGAAAAGAAAATCACATGATTCTGTTCTGAATATTTCTTAATTGAATTCATTGCTGATGAAAACTGATGAATCTATAGTTATGAAGGGGGCTAAAGTCCTTTGTAGCTGAACAGTAAGAGAAGAGTTGGCAACTCAGGCAATTCTCATCTTCACAGGTGTGATGCAACTCACCTTCATGACTTTCTCAAAGGTCAAAAAATAATCATCAGTTCCTAACTCAGCTATAACTTAATTCTAGAAACAACCACATTTCTTGTATACCAGAAAACCACATTTTAGGTAGCTGCAGATATGGACCAGTGAAGTTAGAACAGCACCAAGTAGATTCTTCATCCTACAAAGCAGTCTGAAAAATATTGCTTACAAATACTTTTATTGATACAGAACTGATACCACAACAGAGAGAACTGGTGGAGGCAGAAATCAATATTAGTTTTAAAACGGATGAATATTCAGAGACTGGGACTCAGAATCTCTCCAACACAAAGCATGCCAGCATAGTATAATGTCAATGCTTCTTCCAGATAATGGGGATGGCTCTGAGTAGACAGGTATGCTGAGGCAGCACCACCCAACAGCGCACAGATACCAGCACAGGTCCTGAAGTAGTATTTGCCTGGTCAGTCCTCATCAGCCTACCAGAAGTGTCAAAGAGCCCATCCTACATGCTATGCTGACAACTATACTTCCTTCCCTTCAGAATCACCATTTAACTCTAGCTCAAGAATTTTTGTACTGCACAGCACTGTGGCACAGGGGCCGCTGGCACAGGGCAGCACCTCCACAGAAATTTTTCCAAGAAACATTCTTATTAACTGGAGAACAGAGAAGAAACATATCACAATTGAATCAGTATTATTATTACTAGTAGCATTGATACTACTCTAATATATAGTATTTTGAAAACAACTTTCTGACCTGGGGAGTTGGGAAACTTTAAGATTAGTGATACTTTAGCATTTGCATATTTAGCTATTGTAACACTTAAAAGTATAACACAGCTGAGGCTAGACTGGCAGCAAAAGCTGCTTTTCTGTTCCCACAGCTGAACCCTGTCTCACCAGAACAGTAGAAGCAGGGTCATCTGTTGTGTATCCTTTATGGTATCCCTTTCTTTGGCCAAGACTATGCCTTCCTCACTTCTCAAAGACAGAAATCGCATCCCTGAACATTTCAGCTCTGTCCTCTTGCATCTTGTTCTCATCCTATTGCTATTCTGCTTATACCACTCAATTCCCACAGTGTTTAACTTCATCACCTAGAAATGCTTGCTACTGCCAGACAAAATTTCTGAGCTGAAGAACTAGAGTTGCAGGATATATGGAGAAATCCTAATACAAGTCTTGTGCAGCATGACTAGCAATGGGTTTCCAGACAGAAGAGGTGGAAGGGCCTTTAGTTTAACATAAAAGCCTGAACTGGAGGAAGCTCTGTGACCCTAGCCATGGCTGCAAGGAGGCCCACAAAAGAGGGGAAAGATGAGTTGCCAGCTGCACCACGGGGATAACTGAATAACCTAAGAGGCTAACAGGACAATAAAGAAAAGAACTGATAAACAAGGGGGGTGAAGTAGCTGATTTAACTTGTATGGGAGCAGAAAATGGATTAAATTTTTGAGAAGCAAGGAGGGAGGCTGAGAGTACAATGTGACCATGCAGTACTACAGTAATTTAAAGTAAAGAACACTGGGTACAAAGTTCCTGTTAGGTTCCTCACAAGTTTTCTTACACATTAAAAAGTGTTTAGTGCAGTATGACATCAGTGTGTAAATCGCTGTATCAGAGTAAACTGCTGGGGGGAAGTAAAATAAGACCTGGTGAGACAGCACATAAACAGCAATGCTAGTGAAATGTGAGTTGGTGATCATTGCTAGATTGCTCCTGAATCAACTGAAAATAAATTATTTTAAATGGTTCTTAGTATTGTACGTTTCAACATCCTGAAGGCATGTCCTCACATTAAGTGCCACTCTCCTAAGACATTTTGTCAATTTTTCTCCCACCTAGTGATTTGAAACTTTTTCGTCAGCCATTCAGGTAACTGGGCAAACCTACCTTCTATGGAGCCTCTAATATGCTGGAAAATTATTCTCATATTGCTATACACCACTTCAAACAAAGATATATGTACACATGTAAATATAGCAACAGGAAAAACAAATTCTAATTATTTTTTCACAGGAAATTTTTTTGTAGTTTTGCAGTCTACCTGCCAGCGTAATTTGATCAATTCTCAAAAAGCATATTCTAGATGCAGTGTAATCCTTTGTTTAGTTAAATCAAACTTTGTTTCCTACTCAGGTGTAACAGATAATTTACCACCTTCTCAGGGTGTTCTACATTGCATTCAATGAGACAATGATTAGTATCAACAACTTCATTAACAGGAAGGCTATTTGAAATTCCTATTGCAGTCCTTTTTTCATTAGTACTTGAAGACAGTCCAAGAAAGTTAACAGTTCACTTAATTTGAAACTGGAAATGTGGAGGTCAAGGTATTTTTTCTAAACCAAGGGGTAACACTATCATCTGCTAGCACCTCATGATTATATAACACTAATGTGAAAAAGAATAAAAGAAATGCCCTTTGGAATCTTGTTAATTCTCCAGGTCACATGCTCAGCAAGAACCACTTCAATATTCGATCATTTTCTCCATGAAAAGAAACAACTGCTATGAAAGCAGTATAATTTCACCAATATACTCAAAACTAACAGGTGGCAGAAGAATTCCTGCCCTGAAATCAAAATCACGTCAATTTAAAAGCACCAAAACAATCACCTGAACCATCATACCTGCACAAGGGAGGGAATAGCCAAACTCTGGGTCGTGGATGAACTGGCGGTCATTCAGCATAGTCACACAGTACAAATGGAAACAGTCTAGGCAAATGACATGGCGATGCACACACTGGAACACAAGCACAGGACTCCTGTTAAAAAAAAACAGCAGTGAAAACGATGATCAAGGACTCGACTGAACTCCACAAAAAGCTTTGTTTCAAATGCCTAATTTCATAATTTTTCATTAGTCGTACACAATTGTTTTGCCAATGACCAGGCTCAACAAAAATGATAGCACCAGCAGGAAGATGAACCAATATGCAGACTGTATTGTAGACAGAAATGTTACTATATGAATGACCGCCGGGGGTACAAACAGGTCAACAAGCTCGTACATGATCAATGCCACCCCCAACGATCCCACAAATGACATGACTCAGCCCACAATAGGTGATACAAACAGTGAACCGAGGTTGCCCATAGTTGGCATGGGAAACAGCCAGACCAGCCAGTTAAACACATGAGAAAAAGGTGCCCACATGGCAACTCTCACCCGATCGACCCGTGTTCGCAAAGGCCGAAACAGCCCAGGGCCCAGCTCCAGGGAGAGTCAGGAGGTCTGCCCTGAACCAGGAAGCTCTGGGGAGTGCACTCCACAGACAGACACTCCTGACTCCCTGCAAGTGGTCTTGGCTGTTATCCCCCAGCAGACCCCTGACCTTTGTCAGCTCAGTGCGGGACCCCTGGGGCTCATTTCCCTTCTGGCTCTCCCTGCAGGGCCGGCCGCACCCTGGGGGGAAGCTATAAGGCAAACTCACCACCTCTGTATGAAGGGCTGTGGGAATCACCCATATGTCAACCTTAATTCGGGGCTCGGGGTTCAAACCCCAGCATTTCAACAATATTACTATTCACATGAAACCAGAATTCAGCCTGGCATATTGCAGTGCTTCAAAAAGAAATGTTTTTTAACACAAATTAGATCCAAAAAAAAAGGTTTTTATTAAAAGTTTTACTTTTAATAAAGTTATTTAAGTTATTCAAAGCTTTACTGAAAAATGGAACCTAGAGCAAGGAAAGTGCTTTAGTAACAGGAACCTTTTTTGTATATGGCAAGGTAAGTTCATATATGGTAAAACATCAAAACAGTGGTAGGAAGGATTAAACAGAACCAGTGAGGGAACCTAAACAGGGCTTTGAAAAGACCACCCTGGGCCTTCAGCCTCTCAAGGCAGCCACTCAAACTCTATAGAGAAGTCATTCCCCGAGTAATAATAAGCAAAATAACTTGGCTTCTGGTCAGAGGTATGGGATTCAATTTGGGAACAAGACAAACTTGAGTGCTATACACAAAGATCTGCCCGCCTGCTAAGTGAGAAACTCCCACTATTGTCAATACACTCAGTGGAGGCTGAGGCTGATCAGCTCCCAGGTATCTGCATTAGGGTGAGAGCTGAATCACCTGCTTGGCTCCATTGTCTGCATGGACTAAACCTCCACAGACCACCACAGGAGCTTAGACACCTGCCACACACACAGATGCCTACAAGGAGTAACACAGGGAATATCACGTACACGTGAAACGCGGCTTCGCTGCAGGAACACAGTGAGAAGCCCTAATGGGTTTGCTCTACTATAAGCTAACTTTTGCTAACTTCTGATGGACAGTCATTTCTAAAATAATGACCATGATCCCTGTGATAAAGTTATGTGCTCTGTAAGTGGTATACAGTACTGCTTGCTTATGTCTTCTCCTTGAGGAGTATTACCAGCTCCAAGTATCAAAACTGGAAAAATAAAGGGAGCGATCCATCAAACAGAAAAGAACAGAGACTCCCATTCAAATGATGAACTACTTCTTTTATTTGTGGGAAAATACAGGTAGAAATGGTTAAATGTTATTTTTTTTTTCTCTGGTAATTAGGAAGAAAGATTACTATTTTAAAAAATAAAAGGAAGAATTCTCACATATTCACTGTACTTTGGGAGAAAGGTACCAAAATACAACATCAAATACAGCAGGACTTGTGATAAAATCATACTGCTATAGCTTCTGTAAATCCTGCTAGACAATGCATTGAAAACCCACTGAAACAGTGAATCACCAAGCCCTCAATGTGGGAATACGACTGCAAAATGTAATCAATAATCATTTTAGATACTGTATAAGCATTTAATCTTCCATGAAAATGTGTTTTAGAGTTGCACATTCTATAGCATTCACGGCAGAGTGCTGGTATTTCCAAAAATATAATCTCTATGTTTTAAGGATTTCGTTGAATAAAGCAGCTTAAAAACAGAATTAAATAAAATCTCCCCATTACTAATCCTTATTAGTTGCCCACTTGCTGTTCGCATGTAACAAATAATAATTTTTAAAAGACAGCTGTAAGGCAAAATGAGAAGCTGGTCTGTATCATTTTAGCTCTAGATGTTCCCAAAAATAATTATAGAGAGCTGAAGAAACAGTTATCTTGTCTCTACAGTGTGAAAGTCCCCATGGCTCACCAGTCAAACGTAACCTTAAGAAGAACACCTGAAAGATTTTCTCCTGAAATGCAGATATAATCAGTTTTGCCTGTAGCTTTAATGGATCTCTCTCTCTTTTAGGGTTAATTGTTCATTTTTATAGAGGTAATACCTGAGTATTTTTTATTTTCATGGTAAGCTCCCCAGATCTAAATTCATACCTCTCTGACCTTCATCTCAAAGACAAAATATATCTTCTGTATGAGGAGAGCTCCACAAGAGAAAGTCATCAAAAGTTGAGTATCTTAAAAAACCCAGGCGAGAAATTAAAATGGTGTTATTAACACTTGCACCTAAACTTGTATGAAGCCAAGACTAACAGCACTTCATTACGCAAATGAACTACTACAATCAGTTCCTAACGTATACTATTTCCTGATAATCAGTTTTGCTTCTTAATATATTACAAGTGTTTGAAGTCAAACTACATTCTCCAGAATGGGCACAGCCATATATGTACACATTTAAAACAGATCTTTAGGAATTAATGTTAAAATGTGCTCTTTTTTAACACTATCAGTCTCACAAACAACACATACAAAGCAGACATAAATCTGGGTCCTGACTGTGTCACAAAACAGAAGCTTAGCTTTCACAGCTATTACATTTGTCTGCTAATTTTGCAGCCCACAGTATCTGTGTGATAAGGCTTTGAAAAACTCTATCTGTATGCAATGGAAATGTATCCAAATTCATTTGGCACTGGAACAGTCACTACATTCCAATGCCTGCAAATTTTGTATTGAAAGAAAGCCCTTCCAGTTTAAAAGAGTTATAAAAGTTTTGTTCCTGAGATCAATAAAGACAAAGATGTAGGGATTATGTTCATAATGTCTGCATGAAGCTAGTAAATACTCATTTAGGATAAAGCCAAGACTTATTAACAAAAGCCTTGCTTGAAGCAAACACAATTAATTTTAGAAAGGAGTATTATGAAAGTCAAAAGATTTGCCATACAGTGTAACAAGGGCCCTTACTGAATCTAACATAACAGTCTAGTAATGTAAATCAGGTGTATATTTTACAAGGTATTTCATAGGTTCCATTTACATAATGTGTTTGGCTGAATTAGAGGCTTCATGAGAATAATATATAAGAAAAATGTTTCTTATGCAAGAGATAAATTGGTCCTTTCTGTTCACCAATTAGGAATGTAACCACTTTTAAAAATTGAAAATCCAATGTTACAATGCATCACAGAAAATTTCCATAATAAGTCACTCACTTGTGTGATCAGGCTCCTTTTCATTAGAATTGCATTTACTTAAATGAAATAGAAAAGAGAACTTAAACAGTTCTGTTATTATCGTTAGAGAACTGTGTGGCACAACAACAGCACAGTTGGAAGCACTATATGGTGTGTATGCTTTTTCCTCCTTCTCCTAACTGAGAAGCAGCAAGTCACAGATGATTCTCAGATAGACTACAACAGTATACTGCCAAAATAAAGACTGAAGGCTTGATCTTGTTTAGATAAGAAGCCCCCTGGGAAATAAATGCCTCTAGTATATCCCAAAATCTCATGGTGGTTATTAATGTACTGAGAGTGAGTCCAATGACTATGAATGTGAGGGGCTACTTAGCATAAGGAATAATTTACAGACATAACACCAGCTTGACCGATATATCTTCAGTGCCTACTGAAGAAAAATGTGGGGCAGTTTCTTCCTTGCTTGGCCTTTATTCTTCATATTTTGAAAAAACTGAGTACAGGTTAAAGAGCACACCACATACATCAGTCCAGTATTTTTCAGAAAATGTGAGTAGCCATAGTCTGAAGCACTTTGGAGCAAGGAATATATCTAAGCCTGTAGAAATCTGTAAAAAAACATGTTAGACAAATCTGTGAAACCCCCTTGAGGTCATTTCTAGGTGACAGTTGGATTTTTCTCACCTCAACCTCAAAATCTTAACCACATATTAATAAAAAACCTCAGCAGATGTCTGTAAGGCTGCCTTGCTGGGATTACAGTCAGTGAAGCAAAAATAGCCATTTGGGATTCATTTCTGTGCAGTAAATAAATCTGAATGCACACAGTTATGTCACAGCCTTTAACCCCACCTACAAGCACTATATTTATCATAACACACTTCTGCATTTCTAATACATTTTTCCATGTTAGCTATCTTCATGTACTCCAAAAAGCTTTCTGTATAAGTACCATGAAATAATTTTATTTATAAATGGATCTCTATGCCATTCCAAAATGAATCTTTGTTAACTTACTGGTCAAACTGATAAACACCATTCAAGAAAAGATGAATCACTGGATAAAATGTGTAGGAAAAAAAAAAAAAAGAGATAAACTATGAAAAATATAAACTTTGGTGGCATAGACACTACAGACACTCTCCCATTTCATAAACTATCAAAGTAATTACACAGAAATACTGTCCTTGAGCAGCACTTGATCACTTTTGCCTCTATCCTTGTAGCAGAACAAAATTACAATGCCTAAATAAGCCAGATTATTCATCCATCACATGGCTTCCTCACAGAACTGCATGTAGGAAGAGTACAGTCTTCTAATTCATACAAAGCTGGTGCCACATCTGGTTTCCCAGATCTATGTCTATTACATACAGCCCACAGTCTTACTCAAAACTGCCTGTTTATGAT